GGTGTATGTTCAATCTAAACTGTTTATCTTTCAAAGTCTTTATGACAATGAACCTTTAAAGGTGTCGTTAAACAGATATTTTTATTGAGTTCCTGAACATAAATCCGACTCTTTCAAAGACGAAGAGGTGAAAATTAAATCAGTTTTATTTATTGCATATGGACTTTTTCTCGTTTTAATGAATAAGAATAAATAAATGAATCAAACTGCACGTTGGGAGTTCCCGTGACGGAGCTGCAGTGATTACGATATCAGGTCAGATCATTAATGGGGTTGGCAGGACGCTCACACTGCTGGTCTCATTTCAGAAGGTTGTGACCCCGCCTCTGGGCTCTGGATACAAGAACCGAACCATGCAGCTCTTAGAAGTGGACCTGGCGTCACGGCGAAAACGTCTTTTAGTTTAGTTTGAAGAGAACCGGTAGATATTTTGACTCGATATCAACATCTTTATTCATCCCTGCGTGTATGTGTGCGTACTCGTAATCCCGTCTCGTCTTACTGTTGTTGTCGGAGACGCCTGTATGAGCGACCCTAGGCCTTCTTGACGCTGCCATGGCAACTAGCTTAAAAAGGGATCCTAACCTGATGCTAATATGATTTGACAGGTAAGAATGTGCATGTGTGGGTGTGTGTCTTTATTTTAATGAGAGTATGTACTTTCCCGGCGCATTTGCAGCGACGTCGTCACGTTTCTTACATGCACGCCTGTGTTTGTGTGTAAAGCTCATTAACGACTCAATGTGTCATCGTTCTGCTTCTTAGCTGAGAAACTCAACGAGAAACGACAGAGCGGCAGCAGCTCTCCGGCCCTACGTCTACCTACGAGGCTGTAAAGACGTGTTGCTCGTAGCTCCGACTGATAAGTTGACTTTTGTGATAATGCATCGTGAAGTTTGCTTGTGAACCAAACTTTTTGATCATTTCTCAGTAAAATGAAAGTTAATTTGCTGTTTTTTTTCTTTCTCCGTGCTGACAGATTTCTGCTCTCTGCAGCTCTTTTGATTCATGAAATGCTCCACCCTCAGAAAGCATTCCCTTCCCCCACCTCCGTTCAGCAAAAGCAGCATACAGAAACTAATCCAGGACGGTGAAGCAGTTTCCCTGTTTGCTTTCTGTTTGACACAAAGTCGAGCCACTTGTTCTCAGTCAGTTTTAGGTTTATGATCTCCTGCTGCCAAAAAGCAAAAGGGGGTGATGTTTTACAACACCAATTCCAATCAATACACCACAAAGACAATATAAGTAGTGCTCAAATTAATTAATTTTTTTTTTCAAATTTTCTCTCATTTTTTGTTTGATGCCTGCAACAGGTTGTAATAAACCTGGGACGTTTACCACTGTGTTCTATCAGCTTTCTTTTTAACAACACTCAGAAAGTGTTTGTGAACTGAGGACATTAATTGTTGATGCTTTGTAGCTGGATTTCTTTCCCATTCTTGCGTCATACACAACTTCAGCTGCTCAACAGTCCGGGGTCTCCGCTGACATATTTTCCAATGGGAGACAGGTCTGGACTGCAGGCAGGCCAGTCTAGTACCTGTGTTCTGTCGATATGTGCTCCCTCGTCAGATTTTGCTAACGCAGAGCTTCTAGACCAGGGGTGCCCAAACATTTTCCCYGAGGGGGCCAAATTGAAAATCTATCCAGGGCTGCGGGCCAAGTGCAGTAATGTAATACATGAAATACAAATATTTTTAAAGTAAAGTCCATTATTTTTAACAATCAAGCTATGCAATGGCCCTCTTTTGTTTAAGTTTGTGCACTTGGAGAAAGTCTGCCATATGCTCAAGTAGCAAAGGCTCATGGAACATATCATAAATTGATAAAATATGAGTTTTTGTGGCCTTATAAAGTGTG